TACTTCCAATATAAACTGTCCAAATTTCATGTTTTGTTTTATTTTTGTTCAAGTGATTTCAACTACCTCAGACATTATCAAGAACCGGGTTTTGTCAGTTTGATAAGCAAGATTTTGTTGAAAAACATTTCTTTTGAAACATTGGGACACAAATTATTATTTCAAATTGATGTAAAAGAATGTATCGATTATTTGTACATATTGTGTATGTATATTAAATATTTCATACACACTTTCAGATATTATATCCTTTCTACACTTTCTTTATTCAGTTCTCATTTATTCCTCTTTATCCATTTTTTAATATATTAAGACCATGACCACCAATGTCCTGAAGGTACATGACATTTAAAAAAAAAAAACATATGATGTCAAGCAATCATATTTGTAGGCAGTCCAGTAAAGGGAAAAGCTTCTGTTTTATTTTATCTTTGAGGAGACTGTCCAGTATTCACTGCCATGCATGAGGACAGATATCACATAACAGTTCAGTATCTTTTCTTTGTTTCTAATGAATTTTTCTGTTTCTTAGTACCTTGCTCATTTAAGTATTTACTAGCAACTTTGTAATAGTACCAGGATATAATAAAGCATCAGAGTAGAATCATTAAGAAAGATACATAGCTACCAACCTGAAAGATATAATCTGATTTCATGGCATTTTTACTCTACCAATATAAAGCAGCAGGACAAGGTAGTCAGAAGGTATGAAGAAAATTGTACAAACAAACCTCTTACCTACAGACCCCTCATCAACGGACTTCTGATGCAACGCACAGAATCTGCAGGCAAAATAAAAAAATCTGCAGGAAAAAAAAACTTCCAAATTGTCAATTATGTATTTCAAAATTTGTGGACTGAATGGAATGAGTCATATTACTTCTCAAAGTGACCACTTGGTGGCGGTGGCTGTGGAGAGCCTTCAATTGTAAACAAAGACAGAAAGTATAATACATTAACATGTGTGTGAGAAAGTAACTGTGAGAAATCTGTTATTTTTGTTATTTTGATTTATATATCTATATTAAGTATATATTTATTTATGCCATTTATACATGTTTATAGTATTTACATTATGATCATAACTACTGGTATTTACTATAGTGGTTTTATAACTCAAAAATAATCCCTTCCCATCTATGGACAATCGGCTTTAACGGACCACCCTCTCCCAGTTTGTTGATGAGTGGTTTGACTATATATATATATATATATATATATATATATATATATATATATAAGGAAATGAGAATGCTCTATCAATGCCCACAATATATTCCTTCACAATATATTCCCTCACCTATATACACTTTATTAATAAATAATTGTTTCACACCAAGAAGGGTCTTATCTTTACAACACATTCTGCTCTTAACACAACAGAATTTTTAATCAACATTTGCAATCTACAAGCAACTTATGGGCATTACTTGTAGTGTTTCTCCTTTAGAGCTAGACTTCATTCTTCCAACTTCAGTCTTTATCTTCTTTCCATTTCTACATCTCTCAGTGCAACAGTCTTTCAAAACCAACTTATTTAAGAACAAATTGGTGACCCCCTTCCCAAGTGGAATATTTTATTTAATAACTGCAGATCACATACTACAGTAGAACCAAAGTTTTTCCTTAGGTGACTGCAGGAGTAAGTTTGACAACCAGAAGAAAAAGAATCACCTGCAATTGTAGATTTAATTTCAACTGAAACTTTCTTTTCTATTCATCATTTAAGTCCAAACTGAAAAGCAAGTCATTTTTAATTTCTTGTAAATAGACATCAGCACACTCTTAGTGAAAGGAAGAGTAGCAGGTAAATTTCAGTTTAGCAAATATCAAACCAACAGTCACCTCAAGAAGGCTGGAAAATAAAAACATTGTGAGTATAACAACCAAAATGAATGTGAAGGTCTGTATAGCATAACAGATAATAATTTTGTGGTGTTTCGATTTTAAATTCATTTTTCTAACTTCATACTTTATCATCCTTTATTTTCTATATATATATACTTCTTACTGGTCTTTCACTTCTGAACAAATTGGTAGTCTCTAACTAGAATATTTTATTTACTAACAAACTCTTATTGGCACACTTGGCTCAAAACTTAAAGGTGCACTGCAAACAAGAGTCAAAACTTAATGATAGACCACATATTTTACAAGAAACCTAATGGTACATGACATACTACAATAACACTAGCAAATTAAAATAATATAGAATAATGAATATGTGTCATCAAAACAGGAAGTTACTTCCAATATTCTCATAGCCAGAAAGAGGAATGGGCTAAATCAGAGACACCATGTTGGTTGTTGGTATTTTCATTTATTTTTTAAATTATATGTTATATTTATTACAAAATATGTTTCTCAGAGTCGAAGTATTAAAGTGGAAAAAAAGAAAACAAACCTTTGTGAGTTATTTAATTTAAAACATATTTTGGATTGTAAGTTAAATTTTTTTGTGAGTGAATATTTTGTTAACAATGTTTTTGAGAATAAAAATGATTTTTCCAAATACAAATCATACTATTTTACCCATAGCTGGGAGGAGATGCTGGATTCATACCTTTCCCAAGATTATTTGCACCTAAAGGAATATAAGCAACCTAACTGGAATGCAAATTTAGATCCCTGATTTCTCATCCCAAACTGCTATGATGTGAATCCAATATTGCTATCAGGTCACCAAATATGTTAACTATTGTTTATTGTAACTGGTATAACCAATTATTCTCCCTCCCCAATTTAATGGACTGTTCCTATCAGCAGTGGCAGCAGCTTCTGCTCAAGGTGGATTGGGCCATTAGATACTATTTAAACTCCTGTGGTTTCTCTCTTGGCACTTTAATTTTGGCTTGCCTAGAGAAACCACTGATATTTTAAACTAGACCTGTACTCTTATCTTTGTTTATTATATTATAGTTTTCATTATATTATTATGCATTTATAATCTTTAATTATTAAAATACATAGTTGTTTATTTTTTAAGATAAGTCTAGGAATACATCAATATTTTTATATTTTTTTAAATGTTTTTAGCAAGTTTACTTTATTAAGAATGTCTAATATCATTAAGAATTAATACACTCTTCAAGGAAGCCTACAAAAATGTTAGCTAAGATGGGTACTAAAGGGGAACCCATTGAGACTCTATCAATTTGCCTATACATGACGTTGTTGAAACTGAAATTGTTCAACAGTGTGGCAAACTTTACAAGTTTGACAAAAATATCTTCTAAAATAGGAGACTTGATTATTTTATTAACCATTTATTGTAATGTCTTTTGTTAACAAGTATAACCAGTTATCTCAACCTCCCCAACTTAAGGGGCTGTTCCTATCAGCAGTGGCAGCAGCAGGAGCATAGACTTGAATCCCCTTCTGCTCAAGGTGGATTGGGCCATTAGATATTTTTTAAACTGCTGTGATTTCTCTCTTGGTACTTTTAACTTTACTTGCCTACTGACATTTGAAACCAGACCTGGACTCTTATCAGAATATACAGTTCCATATGTCTGTGCTAAAGGAAATACTTTAATTTAAAACATTTACTAATAGATGTCATATTACTTGACTTAAAAAACAAAATATTTATTGGATAGTGGATTGCATATTGAGTATCAGATCCTGTTGACATGCCAGTGAATCTGTTCTATTGACCCTCGTGATTGAAAGAGTAATTTTAAGCCTAATCAAGTTTCGGGAGCCAGGTGGATCAGTGAAAAATCCCAAAAACTGCTTTAATTTAGTACATGTCAATAACGTCTGGATAACGTTTTTGTCTTTAAAATTTTCCCTTTCATCCATTTCAGTCATCCACTTCCTCATCTTTGATATGAGGTGTGATAAAGAATTTTAAAAGTTCGCAATTTGCATTCATGGAATTTGGTAAATTTCTACCCCTTTCATGAGACTTTTCAGCAGTTGAAGACATTCCTGGCAATGTTGTAGTGGTGAAGATGTAAATAAAGAAGGGAAAAGAAGAAGGAAGAGAAAGAGAAAGTGAATAGAAAGGGATAAAGAAAGAGAAGAAAGAAAAGAAAGTAGTAGAATGATAAGTAGGAAGTGAATAAAAAAGCAAAAGAAAGAAGAGAAAAAGTAGACAGGAGAGATGGATAAAAAGAAGAAGAAAAATGAAAAAGTGGAGAAGAAGAAGAAAAAGAGAAGAATAAGAGAACTGGATAAATAAAAAGATCAAAAAGAAAAAGAAGAAAAAGGGAAAAGGAATAAAGAAATAAAAAGGAAAGAAGAAGAAAGGGAAAAGAAAGAAGGAAAAGAAAGAGGAAAAACTTAGAAAAGAGAAATGGATAAAGGAGAAATGGGGAAAGTAAAAGATAAAAAGCAAGAAGAAACAAAAATTTAATAAAAAGAAGAAAAGGGGAAACGAATAAAGAAAGAGAAAGGGGAAAAAATGAAGAAAAAGAAAAGGAAGAGGAGAAGAATAAAAAAGAGAATAAAGAAGAAATAAATAAAAAAGAAGAAAAGGGGAAGAGGAGAAATGACTAAAGAAGAAAAAGGAAATAAACAAAGAAAAAAAGGAGAAAAAGAAAGTGGGAAATGAATGAAAAAGTAGAAAAAGAAAGAGAAGAAATGAATGATGAAGAAGAAAAAGATGAGAAGAAGAAAGAAGAAAAGGCATAGGAGAAGAAGAAAAGTGAAAATTAATGAAAAAGTAGAAAAAGAATGAGAATAACTGAATAAAGAAGACACAGGAGGAAAAAGCAGAAATGAATAAAGAAGAAGAAAAATAACAAGGAGAAGAAGAAAGGGTAATGAAATAAAGGAGTTGAAATGAAGAAAGAGAAGAAATATAAAGTGTGAAATGAATAAGGAAAAAGAAAAATATAGAAAGAACTTACTGTTTTACTCAAATTAACAAGTGACCAAGACTAACAACTGCTAGCCGAAACATTTTATAAAATAAAATAAATCGTTTGTAGGAATTACAAGTTTTTTCTTTTAATTATGCAACTACAGACAGAGACAATCATCTTAACTTTAATTTAGAAAGAAGATAAAGAAAAAAAGAAAAGTAAAAAAAAGGTCAAGTTTGGTGAAAAAAAAAAAAGGGAGAATACAAATTTAGAAAGAAAGAAAATGAAAAAGAAAAGATGATAAGAAAGATATGAAGAGACAAAAAAAAACCTTGGGAAGAAAAGGAGACAAAATAGGAAATTCACTGATTTGAAACTAATACAAAATATATTAAGAAAAGAAATTGAAAAAGAGTGAATGAAAAAACAGAAATAGAGAATGAAAAAAGGTCCAAAACATATTTTGAGAAGAAAACAGAAGAATGAGAAGAATGAGAAAAATAAAAGAAAACTGAAAAGAAAAAAGAGGAACAAGGAAAAGTGAAGAAAACAGAAAGAAGAAGAGTGAATGTGAAGAAAATAAAAAGAAAGAATGAAAGTAAAGGAAACAGAATAAAATGTGAAAGTGGAGAAAATAGTGAAAATCTGAAAAGTAAGAATACAAAATAAAAAAAAGGAAAGTGAAGGAAAATAAAAGAAAGAGTGAAAGTGAAGGAAAATAAAAGAAAGATTGAAAGTGAAAGAAAATAAAATAAAGAGTGAAAGTGAAAGAAAATAAAAGAAAGAGTGAAAGTGAAAGAAAATAGGAGATAAGAAAAGTTAAAGTGAAGAAAAGAAAAGAAAAATTGAAAGTGAAGAAAATAAATGAAATAGTTAAAGTGAAGATAGAAGAAAATGTGAACGTGAAAAAATAAAATAAAAGAAAGAGTGAAAGTGAAGAAAAGAAAGAGTTAAAGTGAAGAAAATAAAAGAAAGAGTGAAAGTGAAGGAAAACAAAGAGTAAAAGTGAAGAAAATAAGTTAAAGATTGAAAGTGAAAAATAGAGGAAAGTGTATAAAAGAAGGAGGAATAATAAATGTAAAGTAAACAGAAGAAAGACTGAAAGTAAAGGAAACAGAATTAAATTGAATAAAATAGAAGAAAAGGAGAAAGTGTAAAAATGAAAAAAAAAATGTAAATGTAAGTGAAGAAAGCAGAAGAAAGTGAATTAAATAGAAAAAAAAAAACTGAACATGAATAAAATAGAAGAAATCTTGAAAGCCAATAAAATAAACAAAAAGTATAAAAGTAAAAAAAAGTTTCCAAGAAAGATAACCTGATTTTTTACAAAGTCTACAAGTTCCAGAAGAAAAAAAAAAAAAAAAAAAAAAGAAACTTTGGTGTCAAGATAAATCAACCAGTGAGCTGTAAGAATTTCTCATCTGAATAAACCAACATTGGATCTTTCTTTGCAAATAAACTTGCAGATGCTTTTTTTTTTTACTCTCATATTTACCCTAATACCCAATCGTATTCCCTCCCTCCTTTTTCTTGCCTTCATTGTAATACTTCATTTATGTTGTTAGTTCTTCTTCAGTTTTTACTTTTGTCACCTCTTTTTCAACCAGTGAATAAAGAAAACAAGACAATTTGCCAAAGAAACGAATAATTTCTTCGTATAGGTTCTCTAGGCACAACGGGTCTTTTAAGGATATTTTAAGATGGCCATATTTCCTGCAATATATGTGAACTTTTCACCTCCAAAGATTACCCTGCATCTTATACTCTGATAGTTGGTTCTGGGCAGGCCCATTTTGATCTTCTCTAAAACACATACACACAAAAGCGCAAAAAAAAAGTGACAGAAAGAATAAAAAAAGAAAAAGAATATTGTTTTCATGTTTAATAAACTGCCATTTTGTTAGTGAATGAATATTGTGTGTGATGACAAAAATGGTTTCCTCATGGTAAAAATTATACCTTACCCCAGCTGCATTTATATGTTGAAAATATGTTGAGATAGTTTTTTTTATAAGTTTATGTCCTTTCAGACAATCATAGCTCTCCACAGATACATTTTTTTATAAGTATTTATGAATTGCCATGATTTCTGGGAAATGATAGTGGAGTGGCTTCTTGTTGTCTTCTTCATGATTTGAAATCCAAAGTAGTTTTCTTAAACTGATTGCCAGTCAAGGATCAAGGGTCATCCATAACTGAGGAGAGAAAAGATGGATTCATGCCTTTCCAAGAAGATTAGTGCATAAGTGAATGCTGTAGATGTGGCCAGAATTTGAACATGGCTTACAGATTCCGCTTTCAACACGATAAGCTTTGCATAATCCACACATCTATAGAGCTTTATTGCCACTGGAATCAATGAGGAAATTTACCATATTTCCTGCCATATAAGGTACATAAATTTTTTTAAAATCTTCTAAGAAGTATGATTTTTAGATGGCAGGTACTAAATGCATAAACAGCCATTTGACACATAATGAGACTGATGACTCCATAATCTATACACACACACACACACACACACACACACACACACACACATATATATATAAATATATATATATATATATATATATATATATATATATATAGGTATATATATATGCATATATATATATATATATATATATATATATGGGATAACAATATATAAATTTTTATATATCAAGAACAATTTCGAAAAAAGATAACAAATTGGAAACATGACAGCCTACATCAAGTGCCTTGGGGAGGTAATTCTGCCCTAAGTTGAGAGGGAGGCTGCTGAAAGGCCCTATGTCTGGCAACAGGACTCTGCACTATGCCACACAAGCAGGAGAACCCAGTCAGACAATTTCTGCAACCACATCACACCTTATATCAAGCCACCTAACTCCCCAGACTACAACTCCCTTGATTATTATGTATGAGGTACAGTTAAGCAAGAGACCAATAAAATTCCTTGTAACACCAAAGATTATGACAGCATTCACCAACTTAAACAAGGAGACTATCCAGAAGAGACACAGGAGATTCTGAAGTCATCTGGAGGCCATAGTTGAAGCCAATGGTGATTTTATTGAATACATTTACTCTTTAGTATTTCAAGATGTTTTTGTGTATTTTTGGTAAATGTATCTGTTAAAATATGCTGTCAGTTTTATTTTCATTTTTGTGTCAAGTCCAAGCAGTGATAGTCTGTTTCATGCTTGAATACAGTATTTTGACTATGAAGATTATGTTCAAGCATAAAACATAAAATTTGTTCATTTTCTTGTCCCTCTTTTATCCTTACTTTCACTGCTCTATTATGACTTTTCTTCTTATTCATTCACATCTATTTCTTTTTGTTTATCTTCTTTATCTTTTTCAATTATCAACCCTGACTCCTAACTCTCCCATAATCACCTTTAAAAACTTATTCATCTTCTGCCTGTTTCTATTCACTTTCATTCTTTGCTCTTATAACTCCTTCCTCTCTTTTGTTTCTACTTTAGTTTCCATTTCATTTTTATTCTTCATCTGTTTTGGCTTTTACCCACCCCCTCCAACTTCAACTAATTCCCCCCCCCCCCATGCACCACTTTTGAAAACATTCTTTTTGACAATTCTGTTCCTTTCTCATAATAAGCTGAACAGACCTGGAACCATCCAAGCTCAAGTATTTCTGCTGTTTTTCACAGACTCTCAATCAGTTCACTTCGTTTTTACTTTCCATTTTTTTCACGCGAAAAAGAAATTGCCATGTCAAAGTCTATTTTCTTGAGAAGTGCTCACAAGACAAAATTAAAAAAAAAAAGCAATGGGTTATAACTCTAAAAGTTCAAACTTAATGTTTCCCTTTGATTTTTTTTATTCCTTCTGAGCAACAACCTCACCTGTCTTATCCTTTGCTTACTTCAGGAGCTCATAAAATCTTCAGTTGATAAGTAAAGACTATTATAACTTACTAAGAACCCATTTCATTATCATTTAGTGTAAGAGGTTAAATTAATTCTATATTAATAATATAATATATTAGAAATATAACTCTATATTAATAATATAAAATGTACAATAATCTGATGAGAGGATACAGATGACCCCACGACAGTAGTAATTGTTTATTAGATTAGCTTGATAGCCATTGCTCCTGGTGAGGTGTGCACTGATAGTATTTTTAGTAACTTACTATGTTTGATAGGATATAAGATGTACTTTTAAAAATTGCTTAACAATTGTCCTGCATCATATATGCAAAGTTGAGGTCTCCTATAAGCTAATTTTATCACCAATGTTCCCTAAAAAAGACTCTAATTTTATCTCAGATGGTAACTTCTATGGAACCCAACTCTATAATAATTATATTTACATAATAATAATAATAATAATAATAATAATAATAATAATAAAAAACAAAAACAGCAACAAAATAATAATTAACTAGCAGTATAACCTGTCTTTGGCCAGGCGTTTTATTAGTGGGAATTTTTGCCATTCAGTTGAAGCAGTTTAACTTTAAAGTCAGCCCACCTGAAAATCAATATTAGTAACAACAATTGGGTGCAACTGAGGCACATCCCCAAATGGGGGTTAACAAGTGAAATGGGGGGTGGCCGTGAAAAGGGTCGTTTTTGCATTCTCAATCTTGCATGGAAGGAATCTCTTCCATGCAGTTATAATAATAATATACAATAATTTTTATTTATAATATAATTTTTTTTTTATAATTCTAATAATCTTTTGCGTTAGATTTCAACTCTCTAAATTCATTGTACGCTGTTTTTCCCAGACATTAAATTTTGCCTTTGGTTTTTACTCAAAGTGTAAAAAATCAGTTTTTTCTGATTTTTCACCTTCAAGGTTGTAATTTTTTCCAGCCAATCTGGACTCAAAACCGGCACTGAAGAATTATCTATCAAACAAATAAAATTTCATCAAAATCGGATGAAAACTGTGGAAACACATAAACATCTGATCACACAAAAAACACACACACACACACACACACACACACACACACACACACACACACACACACACACACACACACATTTTAAGAATTATATATATGTGTGTGTGTGTGTGTGTGTGTGTATTTGTATATGTGTGAGTCCTCTGTATGTATCTCTCCCAGAAATTGAGTACTCTTCGTTTATAAATATTCCAAATTTGAATGTGTGTATGAATGTGCGAATAATAATAATAATAATAATAATAATAATAATGATAATGATAATAAACAAAAACAACAACAATATAATAATGATAATACCACCAATATGGTAAGAGAAATTATTGCAAAAATGTACCTGAGATGTTCATTAGTACCAGCTGATCCATCATATGTAAATAAACTTCAACACTTCACTCAATTCAGAATGCTCCCAGTTATTTAGATATGACTCCAAAGTCACCTTGGCTGCCTCATCCTTCAAGCTTAAAAAAAGAAGAAACTCTCCCAACCCTCTGTCAGGATACTACCTCACTACTCCTTTTATAAACAGGCATTCACATTATGGGGACAGGCTCAACTGGTTAAGGTCAGTGTATCAATCCCTGAACATAACCAGTTATTATTATTATCACTTTTCTCTGGCACTCCTTATTACTGGTTCCCATATTGTATTCATTTCTATGCTTGGTTGGCTCAGGAGATTTTTGTGTCCTAGCATAATAACAACAAAAATTGCAATATCAGCTCTGGTAAAAATGTGCAATGATAACAGCAAAAATTTGCAATATGTTAAAAAATGGTTGCTAAAGACATTATGTTTATAATACCCAAAAATTCATAATCAGATGTCCTCAAGGACACATGGCACAGTGGATAAAGGTATTAGCTAGATCCAGTGACAGGACCCAAAGAGTGTGAGTTCAATACTCGGTTAAGGCAGTGGGAACTAACAGGAGATAACTGACATCAATTAAAGTAGAACTAGACATTCCATAATAAATGTGGTGATAAAGATGAGAACGGTGGAATAATGTAAATAGTGAACCAAAATTACTGAGTGCAAAATCAAAGAACTTTGAAAGATGAAAAATGCAACCAACCCCACTGTGGTGTATGCAGCTACAAATTAGAAACCATGAATTTCACTTCAAAGATTGATCTAAATTAAAAATAATTTCTTGTGCAACTCAGAGAATTTATTATATATAATAACATGCAAAAGTTGGCATAAACCTTACATTGGTCAAACTGGCTGGACACTCCAAAAAAGGATAACAGTTCATCGCTAACAAATTAGGGATCCTCACACTAGAGAAATACCCCTTAGCCAACATATAAAGCACAAAATCTACCAAACTTTAATATTTTCCTATTCTACCAAAGTGACTACAAAACCAACGAACAAAAGCACAATAATAAACATTTTTAATGGTAAGATTAAATCAAAACTCAATTCATTGCATGAACCATAGGCACGTCCCTCAAGACAGATTCTATCTTATTTTCATTACCATATGCAACATATAAAATCAGTGATACCCCTTGATTTTTTTCTTTTATTTGAGGCATTAGCATCAGCATGTGAAAATATAAACATTTACAAACTGTTTGAAAAACTAAACGTGAAACCAGTTAAAGTAAAAAAAAATTTTCTGAAAACCCACATGTAAGTAAAACAATTTTAATTTTAATAGATATATAAAATCATTATGTTTTTTCCGAATCTTATTTTCTCTATACACCATGTTTTGTACTAACTTTTATAGCAATTTCATTTTTTACCTATATATATATATATATATATATATATAGGTAATAAATTTGGGTATGTAACCCTGACAGAGTTAAAAGTTATTGACATTTGTAAAAACTTTCAG